TTGTTGAGCTAGGATCCTCAGAAATGATCAGGGAAAATTGGGGTTTAGTCCAGCAAGTGAAATCCCTATTGGGATCCGATCTCATTGGTTTGGTTCCGAAACAATCAAATCCGAATCTAACCCCGGGTCTGATCCAGTTCCTTGATAGAAACATCTCGTTTGCAGACATCGGAATAATAGCCGGCATTCAAGAAGATGATGATGCAAGCCCTGATATTAAAACAAAGCAAGAAAACAATAACAAGAGCAACCAAACCAAGAAAGATTCCTTGAAACTTGGGCAACCTTCATATGCGGATTCAGAGCATTCAGATTCTGATTTTCCATTACTTGCTATGAATAACGTAGAGAAGAGAACCCCAAAGAAGCGAGGAAGGAAACCCGGGCTCGGACGAGAGACACCATTGAACCACGTGGAAGCCGAGAGGCAACGCCGTGAGAAGCTAAACCACAGGTTCTACACTCTCCGAGCCGTAGTCCCGTACGTGTCGCGCATGGACAAAGTATCGCTCTTATCTGACGCTGTCTCGTACATCAACAAGCTAAAGGTGAAGATCGAAGAACTCGAGTCGCAGCTTCAGAGAGAGTGTAAGAAAGTGAAGGTAGAAACGGTCGATAACACTATGGATAACCAAAGCACCACCACTTCCAAGGAACAAGCAACCAGGCCAAGCGATTCGTCATCCGGAACCGGAACCGGAACTGATGGAACCAGTGGGCTCGAACTCGATGTCAAGATCATGGGAAATGATGCAATGATTAGGGTTCAATCAGAGAACGTGAACAATCCAGCTGCTAGGTTAATGTGTGTCCTTCGAGACCTGGAGTTCCAGTTCCATCATGCAAGCATGTCGTGTGTTAACGATGTCATGCTGCAGGATATTGTGGTTAGGGTTCCTGATGGATTGAGAATTGATGAAGGCCTAAAATCTGCTCTCGTAAGCAGGCTAGATCAGCAGTGAGTAAGGTTTAATTAAGGCTATGCATTTTCCAACTATCTATTTTGTAGTATTATTTTTATCCCTTTATTTGTTTTTTTAAAATCAAAAGTTATTTTGTATTTCTGCTTTAGACATTTAATTTCCGCTTGTTATGTAATTAAGGGGATAAATTCAAACAACACTTCGTTTCCTTTTATCTTTGGTTGTGATTTTTGTCTAAATATTGAACATATTTTTCTTGTGGCTGTCCCCCCGAGTTCATGACAAGTTTGATTGTGAACATACAAAAATTGAAAACATTATAAAATATAAAAAAGGGGACGGTAAGGTACATGCCTATTAATTAGAAACAAAGCCCATGCTTAAGAAAACAGTGTTCGTCAAGAGGGTGGGGACTCCGGACTCTTCAAACTTAATCCAGCATTAATTATTGATAAATTGACTCTTTTTCTCTCTCAAATTACGTATTCTAACCTATCTATTTAATAATTTAAATAACAATTAATAATTATCTATATAGAACTTCAACAACTTGTCTTTTGGACACAAAGCTGCCAAAGACACACGACAAATGTTAGGAAATAATGCAAAACGGAAAAAATGGTCGGATAATATATATTTGGAAAAAATCGATTCATTTAAGATGTATAATAATTACTTTTTAAGATAAAGAGTTTTTTTACTAATGATAAGAAGACGTACGAATAATCTAACGTTTTTAAGAAGATATTAAAAAGTTATTACGTCTTTTGTTTGCCTAGAAGTATTAAATAATACACAAAGCAAAGCTTAAGCAATAGGGGTCATTTTGTGGACAAAAACAAATGATGAATCATTATTATGTGATACAAGCCCACTGGACACCTAACATGGCCTTTTATTTTGCAATTTCATTAGTATCATATAGCAGAAGCTTCATGGATTAAACCACGTGTGATGAATGGCTGACACTATGGTGGCGTTTGGTTGGATGGAATTCTTTGGAATTGGTGGGAATTGGAATCCAATTCCACCACTTTCCCATTTTTTGTTCAAGTTTTTTAAGGGAATTGGAATACGATGGAATTCAATTCCAGCAAATGAGGGAAAGTGAATTCCATCCAAAAATGGATAGAATTCAATTCCCTTGTTGGAGGAAATTGAAATTTGACCATACTACCCTCGTCAATCCTTAAGTAACTTATTTATATTGAATAAAAATATTTTTTTATTATTTCGGGTCGGGTCGGATTTCTAATTCATATATTCAGGTCGGGTCGGGTGAAACTTTATTTTGGTCGGGTCGGATCGGATTTTTTTAAGTGTGATATTCTGTTCGGGTTTAGGGTGAAAAAAATCAGACCGACCCGAAAATATATATAATTCAGGTCGGGTCGGATTAAGTCACTGTTTTTATTAAATAAAAATAAATTTTTATTATTTCGGGTAGAGTCGGGTTGGATTTCTAATTCATATATTTGGGTCGGGTCGGGTCGGATGAAACTTTAATTTGTTCGGGTCAGGTTTTTAAGTGTGATATTCGGGTCGGGTTGGGTCGGGTTCAGGTTTAGGGTGAAAAAAATCGGACCGACCCGAAAATATATATAATTCGGGTCGGGTCGGATTAAGTCACTGTTTTTATTAAATAAAAATAATTTTTTATTATTTCGGGTCGGGTCGGATTTCTAATTCATATATTCAGGTCGGGTCGGATGAAACTTTATTTTGTTCGGGTCGGGTCGAGTTTTTTAAGTGTGATATTCGGGTCAAGTTGGGCCGGGTTCGGGTTTAGGGTGAAAAAAACCGGAATGACTCGAAAAAAATATATAATTTTACCTTATATATTTAGGAATAATTACAATAATACCCCTTTATATATAATTTTTTTCAATTAAGTCAATGTTTTTATTGAATAAAAATATTTTTATCATTATTTTGAGTTGTGTCGGGTCAAGTTTCTAATTCATGTATTAAATAAAAATAGTTTTGGTATATTTTTTGGTAACTAATTAACATACTCCGATTGGAATATATCGAAATATTGCTCTATCTTTTGGTAACTTATTAACATATGATTTTAACTTATAATGTTTATTAACATGATTTTTATAATTTATTGAAATGAATAATTAATTAATAAAATAAAAATTTAATATTTTTTAATTTTTTATAATATATTACTACATGTAAGTTGTAAAATAAACTAAAATAAAGCAAAAAAACAAAAATGACAATTCTATCATTTTATATTACTGAACTCAAATTCATCTGATATGTCTGCGAACCAAACAGAATATGAAATTAAATTCAATTTCTACAGATTACAATTCATTCACATATTTCAATTCTCTCATAAATATTTCAACGAACTAAATATCACCTGAATTAATGACGTCACCTGAGTTAATGTTTGTTGGTATGCTCCACAAGGATATAATCAATACTCGAAAAAAAAAAGGTAAACAAGTATATTTGGTGTCAAATTTATTTTGCTGAAATATTATCAGTGACCCAATGTTGACCATCTGTTTTGATGGTAAGATTATTCATTTAGCAAACAAATTTACCGCTCTTCCTACTCCGTGGTTATCCGCCGCAGTAAAATAATCATGGCCAAAAATTACCCCACCGGGTCCCAAGATCCGATACGCCCGGTTTATATCCACCCAATCGGATATGAAATCATGACCCGCATCAATCTCTACAAATCCGCAGTTACTCCCCACTCAGATAACTTCTCGTGACCCGACCCGGTAGAGAATGGAACAGGTAAAACCGCCCCGGTGGCGTTCAAATAAACCAGATTTTGCAGGAATTGCTGAAGCAACAGAACGTCGCCGTTGATAATGTTAATGTCCTTGAAACGGTCTCTGAAACCCAGCCATCCACGAAAGTCGTCGAGGCAGAGAATCTGAGTTTGGAGGCCGAGTTTACGAGTCACGTTGACCATGTGGAGAGCTGACGCGCCCAAGAAAGTGCCCACTTCGATGATAACTCGAGGCTTGACTCTTTCGATCAGGTGTTCGAAAACGGCGCCGTTGGAGCCCCAGCCTTTGATTCTTTTTACCCTGAGGAAGGCCCCAAGGTAGGGTGGCGGGAAGTTCGTGTAAGGGGAGGTGTTGTCGAAGACTCGATCGAGTATCGTTGGGAAGACAAGGTGGGGAGGGACGGGTGAGTCGGAGCACTGAGCAGTGACTCGGAAGTTGTGAGTTGGGAAACTGAAGGAGGAGTTAGTTGGGGAAGTAGTTGCTGCTGCTATCGTTGTTTTTGGCTAAGAGAGGAGTGGGAGAAATAACCCACGGCGTAGCTTAGAAAGACGAGGATAACGTAGGCGGCGGTGTTAGTGAAGAGCTTGGTGATGGAAAGCCTGGTTCTTTGATGGCTGTGGAGGTGAAGAGGGCGGTGTTCTTGGTTGTCTTGAAGACTCGAGAGAGGTTTAATCCTGAGAGTTTGCCAAACAACGGAACGGCATTTGTCGGTTCTATAAGAAAAGAAGGATGGAAACCTGAAATTACTACTATATCCTATCAAGTAAAAAATAAAAAGAAAAGAAGGGAATCTGTTTTTTTGATGAAACTGGTCCATAGATAGAGATGAAAAGGTCATTTGCAGAAGTTGGCAAAGATTACTTAGATTGTTTTAATATTTTTTCTTTTTAGAAGTGGATGTCTTTCTTTCAGTCTACCTTATTCGTTGCCCTTTACCTCCCCTTTCTCAAAGCTCGGCGCCATTTATTCGATGTACTAACGCGAGTTTAATATCAAGACCAAACCCTATAATTAAAAGGCAAGTAAAGGTAAACAGTTCTAGCACGTTCATCACCTTTAAACAATAGACCTGCAGCACTATCATCCTCAACCATAGGTTTAGCCTCATCTCATGGACCCGTTTGTAACGAGATGCCAACTGCTTCCGGCACCTTTTAACTCCACTCACTTGAACTAAACCACTCATCTTTAATACAGAACATTTAAGTGGTCTCATGGTAGGTTCCACTTCAATCACCATGACCACGAGGTTTTTTTTAGCACAAACATTACCGGTAGCAACCGAGGAAGCTTTAACTGGGATCACAATTCAGATACACGCAGCAAGCTTTAAGCTTTTCCTCCTTTTACAACTAAAACTGTCGTTGTCTAACTAGCTGCTTTTTCGATTCATTGGCATGCCAAGAACCTCCCAACAAAAGTTTACTACCTAAACCCTTTAAAACTAAAGAGCGAAAAAGAAAATTTTATGTTCTAACACCGTCTGTCCATCGAAAGATTACCCGAGCAGTACAACTATTGTAAGAGGCGCTTACTATCAACATCCATGAGTATCCGATCAAAACAACTCAAGGGGGGCAGTCACTTTGCCTTGTCTGCTCCATCACCATGACCACCACCTGTGCTGCCCTGACCATCAACACCGGCTTCAGCACCCTCTTGCTTGTTCCAACAGCGTCCATCGTTTGGGCCTGAAGCTGAAGAGGGACCACCACTGCTACCACCTCCAAGATTAGCCTCGACTTGCATGGGATGCATACCATTATTGGGCCCTCCAGGTCTGATTCTCATTTGAGCTTGCATGGCTTGTTGATGCTGCAGGTGTAGCTGCTGTTGTGGGCGTTTGTTTGTGGTTGTGCATCCGCAAATCGCAGCTAAGTACATCAAATTCTTTTGCAGCTGAGCTTGATACCTAAAACATCAAAATCGTGCAAAACCAAACACATGTACAGGATGAAAAAAAGATGTTAGTTTCACTGGGAGTAAAATGAATATGTTCGGTATTAACATTTAAATATTACTATTGTCCCAATTTCCAAGCTTTATAGCTTCTAAATTCACCTCTTTGGTATCATCTGGATCAAAACTAAGCTATTCAACTATATCATTCGTATGCTAATGACCAACTGTAGAATGCAAGTAAATAAAATTGTTTTCCATCACAAATCCCCAACACCATGTTGCAAAGAAAAAACAAGATAAAACAAAAAAGTTATAGCTTCTCCTAACCAGAAGAATACATGTTATCCTGACTTCTCCATATATTACTGAATTATGCAAGGACCAAAAGCAGACAAGAAAACAACAAGACAAATTGACAGAAAATAATGATGCATGCACCACCAAGATAAATGGAAGAAAAAGATAGATTTATAAATTACTTACTGGGCACATTCAGCGAGTTTTCCGAGATTTTGATTGTCCAAAATTGCCAAAATCAGCTTCTTGTTCTCATCAAGGTACTGCAATAAGATCGGGAAAGAAAAAACCACAAGAACAACTTAATATCTTAATTATCATATATTGTACTCTTTAGCACCACGCGACAAAAACTGTCAATATGCCCAACATATAACTATTTGGGACAGATATACAGACTACTCTAAAATCATATATTACAAAATATCTGGGGTACGCAGTTTACCGAAAGATTGTACGCTCTACCAAAAGATTTTTCGTTTATGCACTACTTAAATTCATTGAGTTTTTTCTGAATCTTGAATTTTTGAAAGAGGCCTTGAAAAGGATAGCCCATTCAGTAGGAAGTTTCATCATAAAAATGGATAGTAGGATATCAAGTGTAGAGAGCCCTTCAAATGCATTCCCTTCGATAGAACAAACGATAGTCCACAACAGACATAGTGATCATCCATGAGAATTAGCATATAAAGCCCACATCTTATACCTAGAAGCTTCTAAAAATCAGCCAACAGCTTCACTAAATAATATCACTGACCTTCTATCTAATACCTATTAGACTTTCGGGAAACAGAACACAATATCAATAAATTCTTTAATAATTAATAATGTCAATGCTGAAGGTTTATGGCACGATATAACAAACTAATGCTTTTCCTCGAAAGGAATATTAACAATTCAGGAAAAAATGATCTAAAGCGGAACATGAAAATCTCATTTATCACCCTGTCTTGATCTAAACTAAAGAATTTCTATAAGCGATGAAAAGTAAACATAACTAGCGAGGCATAAGTGAACATGAATTGCTTTTAATTAGTTTAACTCAAGAAAGGACCAGATGTGAGCCACTGGGACAGCTTTAAGAAATCAGCCCTAGGGGCCCTTTATTAGGAAAGCACTATTCGAGCTTCTGCTGCAATGGCTTTATCTTTGGAACCATGTAGACAGCTTAACTAGTCTTGTAACTCCCTTTGGATGCCATTTCCGAACATGGTAACCAAGAGGGTATTCATAACAATTAAGTAGTTGAAGTATTAACACGCGCTGAAGATCAGTAAAACCTCAAAATGGATCTAAAATATATGCCTGCAAACTTTCAAGCATATCTCAGATTTTTGTTTTCATATCAAAATATTCCAAATAAAATACTTCATTGCATTGATGAATTTTCTGGAAACATTGCAGATAAATTCCAAAAGATGTTATTTGGAGGCATAAATAAACTCGAAAAGACGTTAAAAGGCTTGTTATAGTTGATTTGTGCACTTCGTAAAAGACAGAAACATAAGGGGGGAAATGCTTTAGGAGACAAAACGGTGAGAATCAAATTGACAGAAGGGATCAGAACATTGATTCTCCCCAGCACAAAGCATAATCACTAGATGTGCCAGATGCATCTAACCGTTCAATATGGCACAACTTTCTTTCTTGTAACGACAGATTCTAAAACGAAAAACATAACCAAATTAATCAATCACATCATATCCGACAAAAAGAACAGTTAGATCAAATCCCCTGCATTACCAAGAACTTCTAATTTAAACAACCACATCATATCCGAAAAAAAAATAATTAGATCCCCAACATGACCAGCAACTTCCAATTTAATCAACCACACTGTACACGAAAAAAAGTATAGTTAGATCTTCTGCATCAACAATAACTTCCATTCATCTCTCTATGCTATCCATCTCTGTTACCATAACTTCTTGAACCGACATCAGCTAACCCTTACCTTTTCCAAATCATTGTTCTGTTCCAATAATTATTAATATGCGCAACCAATTCACAAAAGCACAACTCTTCCATCTCATAAACGTAATAACCATAAACATACATGAAAACGAGCTGCTCCTTTTTCTTTTTGGAACAAAATAAAATTATGGGGCTTCTTCTATCTCATAAAAAAATATTATTATTATTTTTTAAGTCTAACCATCAACAACCCATGACTTCAAAGTACAAACACTAAACAGAGTATATTTAATACCATAAATACAAATATACCTTCTGAATCTGTTCGGTAGTGATGTTGTTAGGTGGGAACGAAGGCATCATAGGAATCATTTGCTGTGGCTGCTGCATCTTGTGTGAGATTAACTTTACTCCAAGAAGAAACCCTAACCTAATCACCTTCAAAAATCTCCAGCAAAAGAAAACCCAAAAAAGGAAAGAAAGAAAAAAAACAAGTTGAATATCCCCAAATAATAAACAATGTGAAAAGAAATAAAGGGTATGCACTATTTCTTAGCTTGTTTTTACCTTTGTTCAGCAGGTGAGAGTGAACGAGTTTTGCTACCTTCCTTAATGGTTGAAGAGGGGTTTCACTTTCGTTTGGTAGTGATGATGATTCTGGAATTTAAGACAATGGAAGCTAACATAATAATGAACTCAAAGAGAAAAAGAAAATTAAAAATTTAAAAGATTGTAACCGAAGGAAACGAATCAAAAGACGGTAGATTTTGGTGTGTCGGGTTGCGTTGTTAAGCCAAAAAACCCAGGCTTTAGTTGTTAGTTTATTGGTTTTTTGCACGGTTGCTTACGTCAGCTGGTTTTTATTTTTGGGTAAAGTATTCACAAGGTAACAAAATTATACTTAAAGGATTGTTTAGTCTCTGAAATTTTAAAACTTACAAAATGATTAGTAAATTTATTAAAATGTTGAAAAATGATCATTACATAATTATAATACGAGTAAATATTAAATAAATTTAATGATAATATTTTAATATTTTGATAAAATTTAATTATTATTTTGAATTAATTTAATAAATATAATGATTATGTTATAACTTTTGAAAATATATAGATCAAAATGATCATTTTATAATAAGTTAGTGGTCTTGATATATTTTTACCATTAATTTTGTTGGTTTGTTTGGGCTTTGGTTTGAGTTCGAATGCCTTTCACCGACATTTGACCTACTTTTCTTGGAACTGTTGATGGTTAAATATAAATAAAACAATTACTTTTAGTGCTAATATTCTTATTTTTTTTTAAAAAAAGAAACTTATATATTATAATTATACAAGTTTATTTATTAGTTAGCTTTAATATTTGTTACGTGCTTGAATTATTTTAAAGTGGTATTTTTAAGAACATCCGTCTATATTAAAATCAAATTATAAACTTTTAATCGAAAGAAATAATGATTTTAGTATTTTATTGATTAAAAAACTTATAATTGTAGGATTAAATGAGAATGGATATAGAGTTTTATGTTAAATAATGAATTCATTAAATTTTAAATTATAAATTTATAAAATTCTAGAGACAAAAACAGATTATCAATAGAAAATAAAATATATATCAAAATTATATAAGAATTTGAAAAAAAAAGTTTGGACAATTCCTATCTAGGAAAAAGGAATTTTTAACTATATGTTCTAAAGATTATCGAAAATAATTTGAAAATTTTAAGAGATGTAATCCTCATCGGTCTCATTCATCCAGAAACTAAATAACATTATTTTTAGTACTTTATTAAATTAAAGTTTTATAATTTTAAGAAATAATGATAATTTTATCGCCGTGGATGGCGATGTGTTGATTATTGCATCCATTGCCATTTGTAAGAATGGAAAGAACCAGTGCGGTGCCATCAGCATCATTGTCCTGTTTTTGATGTCAAATTTATATCTGTCTTAGTTTGTATGTTGATTTATCTATCTTGAGAAAGCCCAACATTTTCTAATAATCAAAAAGATGGAATAAAAGCTTAAACAGGCCGAAGCTAAACCTGAAATGCTGAAACACAATTTTGTAAGGAAATGTTTAAGGAATTGAATCAAATAATTCAGAAATAATATTTGTTGTCTTTGGTAAGCTGTCAACGCAAGTTGATATGTTACTTTCCATCAATAATCACTCCTCTAATCCTGCTAATTCACCAATAATCTTTGGTAAGTTGTTCACTTTGATGTCCCTTCATGGTATTTTGTTGACCTATTGATGAGTCATTTTAATTTCAGATATGAATTATACAATAAAGATTTTATAATCAAAATTTTTATTTTTTTCAAAAACATTTGAATTGAATTATTAGTTTTTAACAAAAAAATTCAAAATTTCTATTTAGTCAATTAATCAAAATTATTATGTTAATTACATAAAGGGTTTCGATTAGCCAGTACTTGATGTCACGGGGCTAGCCTTCTGCTAGTCGATTCATGCGGCACTTAGACGATTTTCAGGTCGAAATGACGCCTAAGTCAGCCTTAACCACGTCCTTGTGAGTCTCTGGCTCATTAAGCTACAAACACACCCGATAGGGTTAGGCAACGATGCGGAAGCAAACACCACTGGGGCTTATCCAAGCCACCTACATTGAACAGATCTCAGAAGCACGAGCACTGTGGGGACTTCCTAAGTTACCACGACTTGAATCACTTTGGAACTTCAAAAGAACTCGGAAATGAACAACTCTCGAGGCTATCTCAGCCCTAAAGTTTGGCAACACAAGCTACAAAGGCTTCAATACAAAGGGGAACAAGCCGACAATGCTAGAAAGCTAGAAACAAAGGAACTCAGAGAAATAGTAAGAGTAAATGCCTGAGTTTATTACTCTGAAAGAATGAAATTGATGGAATGATTACAAATGAGGGGATGAACTCTCTATTTATAATTGAGGCCCTCAAGATCCAACGGTCTAGATCAAAGTACATCGACGACTTAGATTAAATCCTACCTTATCCATAACTCTATCTCTAAGGCATTTGAATTCAAATAAAACATTATCTCTAATTAAGTATTTATCTCTTTAATTATTGGATAATATAATTCTTTCTGTAATCTTCCAAGAAACGGGCTAGGTCTGATGGTTATGGGCAAACCCAACACTCCATAGGATTATCCTACAGAAATCTGCACACATGTCTCGGTCCGAATCCATGAGCCATGACAAAATTGCTCCCATCGAACATGTAATACCCTCGTTGCTTCTCTCTGACGCCTCAGACTTGATCCTTCACAGATTTGTAAGCATTCTTCGAGAACTGGGCCAACTCATCAGGTCCAATAAGTTCAAGTCTACACACATTGAACTCCTCTTGTAAACATTAACACCAATGTCAATGTACCAAAACGTTTAGTCTGTGACATTGAGTGCAAACATAGAGTCGATCCGCAATGTGAAACGAGTCCTTAAAATCTTTGAAATTACTGCTGATCTTCAACTAAACTCAAAGAAGATAAAATTATTCGGGGTAAACGTTGATAATCATCGTGTGAAGCTTTGGGCGGAGGATATCCAGTGCAGTTGGGAGACGCTTCCAACGACCTACCTTGGGTTGCCGTTGGGTCAAAAAAGAAACTCAAAGGAGCTTTGGCAGCCATTCATAGAGAAAGTTCAAGCCCGGTTAGAAGGATGGAAAAGTAAATGCTTGTCGTTGGGTGGGCGAATAACGCTGGTGAAGTTTGTATTGTCGAATCTACCGATTTATTACATATCGCTCTTCTCCATGACTGTCGTAGTAGCAGAAAAGATCAATAGATGCTTTGCAAATTTTATTTGGGGAGCGAATGCAGGCAGAACAGTTCATTGGGTGAGTTGGAAGAATATTTGTAGGCCAAAATCGCTAGGTGGGTTGGGGATTGTTGACATGAGAGTGAAAATTTGAGCTTTGCTCAATAAATGACTATGAAGGTTGGGAAGTGAGTCGGATAGTCTTTGGAAGAAGGTGATTGTGGAAAATTACGGGTTGGATAGAGAAGCGTTATTTCCTTCAAATGATCAGTGGAAAAAGCAATCTTTTTTTGTGAAGGAATATAGCTCGTCCATTATCATCTGAGGATGATTTATTCATCTCAAAATGCAAATGTTGGCTGGGCGATGGAAGCAAAATTAACTTTTGGGACGACTATTGGATGGAGGTCCATTTCCTTTCGTTCGAGTTTTTCGAGAATCTTCGGTATGGCTGTGCGGAAGTCTGGTAAAGTAAAAGAGTTCAGTTATTGGGTGAATAGTAATTGAAAGTGGAGGATAGAGATTAGAAGTTCGTTGTTTCAATGGGAAGTGAACTTATGGTGTGAATTTCTTAATGTCCTGAATAAAGTTCACCCCAACGGGATGGTGGAGGATCGTCTGTTTTGGTCAGGGTCCTCTGATGGTGTGATTAAACCAAAAAATTTCTGTAAATTGGTGGGATGATGGTAATGTGCCAATCGACAGCGTTTAGAAGTTAGTTTGGGTTACGTTCGTTTGGCGAGTTGTCCTCAAGAGGCTATCAACCCTTGTCGAGCTGCAAAAGAGAAATATCGCTGGGGTTGACTCGATGTGTGTAGTGTGCAAAAAAGAGCCTGAATCAATAAGTCACATTTTATACCATTGTGAGCTTGTACGGAGAGCGTGGCAAACTAGGGTTGGCAATGGATCAGAGATGGGTCGGGTGGAGCTTCATCTGCCCCAACACCCGCGGTCCAAAACTCCATCCACACCATCCATCACCCACCAAAAATTTCATCCATATCTGCTCCATCCATCATCCGTGGGTGGAGCGGGTGGAGTGGATGAGAAATGGATAATACTATGAACAAAACTATTTTTACATCCTAAGCTCAAATTCTTCTAACATTCATAGAAACCAAACATTGATACTCAAACATTCATAAATTTTCTGGAAATACGAGGTGATATTTGAGGTGGACCCATGGTGGCCATTGAGGATTTGTTTTGAGCATCATCTGGAGCCACTCTTGCTGTAGTTTCAGGTACTTCCTCAATTAGTTTCGGTTCAGGCTTACACTAGGAGTTGGAGATGAAGATGGCATGAGATTATGGATGTCAGGAGATGAGCCTTGACTTAAAGGAGAGATGGCATAGGATTTTGAGGTGCTACTATCTGATGTAATTCCCATATCCATGACTAAAAAAACCAAAAACAAAATGCAAATTAATTACTAAACAATTGCATATTGAACTTACATGAATATAAAATTACAGATTGAACTCAAGTGAATTAATAAAAGATGAAAGAACTTACATGAATGTGTTGAGGAAGTGAAGCACTAAAGCTTGAGAATATCAACCTTCGGATAGGTTTAAGATTTAAGAACAAGGATGTGCTTAAGAACACGGTTGCGCATGCTACATATTGTCAGTGGAGTGGCAATTCTAATGCGGTGGTAATATGTCGCAAGAGGGTTCTGTAGTAAATTTATCATAATACACAATTAAAATAATAATTGTAGTAAATTTAAAACGAATAAATTTAGACAATATTTATCATACTACACGTGATTTACATATATTTATCTATAGTTCTTCTGATGATAATGCGGTTGATGGGATATCAAAATGGAGTTGAAGCTAGCATGGCTGCATGGGCAGTTCGGATTTTAATTCACAGACAATATGTTATGGGGTAGTGGACTGGAGCATGCATTTCTTTGTCAAGGGATGAATATATATATATATATATATATATATATATATATATATATATATATATGGATGGATGGATATATTAATGGGTGGATGGATACTGCGGGTGATGGGTCAAAAACATTTCATCCATATTCGACCCGACCCA